TATGCATCTAATTTTTAGTGGCAGTATTTATCACATGAAACTACAGATTTCACACTGACTGCAATGTTGATTTTCTAAAGGAAGTGAAAAATCAACCTGACCTAATGCATAAATGTATGTTATTTTTATAATGACAGGATTTTCTTTTTAAATAATTCTATAAATAATAATAAACTGAATTTAAACTTTTTTTCTTTGTCTTACAACCTAATTTGTGGTGAGAGCAAATAAAAGAAATCCTTGGAAAAAGTATTTTTTCAAAATTTATAATAACAGTTATTCATCATTATGTGTTTATTTAAATTTTCTTGTTCTGTAGCAATATGAATCAGCTGAAGTGTTGTTAAATTGAAAACAGCTGAACCAATTACAAAAATGGTTACAGAACATTTACATTCAACTGGTAGTCATCAGTAAATGAAGTCAACTACAAAGTAAAGAGCAAGAGGCTCAGACAGAGAGAAAGTCATGGAATGAAAATAAATTACGTTTTTAGATGAAGATGACAAAACAAAGAAAATTGTTATATATAAAACTGACCATCCTTTGAAAAGGCACACAGAGAGATGAAGCGAGCCTCGGATAACAGACAAGGAAGACAGCTGCTAAACTATGCATCCCTCTCAACCACAACTCATCTCTATTTCACTTGCTTATAGCAGTAGATTACAACCTAAGAATAAAATCTGGTTTACTGCTAGAAATTGTCATGTTTTTCACTCGTGGGTAAGGATCTGAATGAAGTGTAATTTTAAGCCACAAGTGTTTGACTGGAAGAAACTGTACCCTGTTAACAAATGGTGTCTGACCTGAGCTGCAACAAAACAGCTGTCAGATATTTCTATAAATTTATGAATGAAAAAAAAAATTGTTTTCATAGTTATCTCTTTATAATATGATAAATAATATTGATTTGTAGGTGGTTAACATAAATTGCTGCCACATATGGTCTGGTGCTCCTGCTATGTATTTTATCATACTTATTATAAAACCCAGGTTGTGTGTGTGTGTGTGTGTTCATTTATATATTGGATCGGATTTCCTATATTTTTCAACCGATTTCAACAAAACTTCACAGGACTACGTAAAATTACCTTGCGGTGGTTCTGACAGCACCAAAAATTGGAAAAACACAATTGTTTTTGCACAAAATCAATTTGAAAACACGATTAAGAGGCATCACTGTCGCGAGAATGAAAGGGGAACAACTCATATCGAGTTATACTTATTATAAAACCCAGGTTGT